AAGATGACCATCAATGCGGTCAAGATACGCATGTTTATTATGTATGTTCGATCACCGGTGATTGGGCTAAGAAACGAACAGCAGATCGGCCTAAGCCACGTTACGTCCATGACTTGTTTTTGGCTTTATAAAGAGAAGCTTCCATTGAAAGTACGATAAATTAGTGAGAAGGCTTATTATGCAGGGAAGTTCGCAAGGACCTGGCCTTCAATAACAGAAACTTGATCAGCGACATTGTGCTAAGGACGCCTGAGCTTGAAGTCACTGTATGAAAACAGTGCTGCACTTTAAAACAGCCGCGATTCTATGCTAATCAGGGAAGGTTTTAACTAGCATAATCGATATAATTTCACCTGGGAACAGTGGACGCTGATTGCGAAACAAATAGCTTCTCACACTGAAGTCTTCTAGATAAAGTTTTGAGTTCATCTAAAATTCAACTTTTGCTAAAAAGTGTGCTCGCCATTTCTGCCTGAACATGCGAGGTTCGCATTAAGCAAAAAGGAGCTGCCTGCCAGAATAGCAAGTGGTCGGGCCTCTAGGTTAGGCCAGACTTCGCAAAGTATGTTGCCGCGGCTTAGGGAGCCTCCAGACCACGCCGGGTCCGCGCCGGTTGTCGCTTTTGCAACCGGTAGCTGCTTTCGCGCCGGTTGTCGCTATTGCAGTTGAAGCACACTGTGTCAGACTTTGTCCTTGGAGCGTAGCGAGAGCCTATTGGCGCTAGATGCGTCTACGATGCTGGAAAAATCGATTGTCGAGTGCCGTTTTAGTCTAAATCCCGCTGTAGAGCTATTGCAAAGCAAGGCCTTTTTGACGTCTATCTCATTTTGAAGCTGGTTTACTATGCTGGATGAGATGTACTTTTTTTTGTTTTTGAAGCTGTTCCATCTTGTCGTAGCAGCGATTTAGCCGCAGAACTCAGATTCTATGTACTATTTTTGCTTTTGGTACTTCACTACGCTGATCTATTCCAAAGCGGATCATTTGGTGCCTCCTTCTCCCTTCAAGATATACATATAACGTTTACTTCAGCATAGCAAAATAGCTAAACTTGAGTAGTTAAACGAAACTTATCATTATGTAAGTGTACTTCCAAGCAGTGTAGAAGAGTAGCTTTAAAATTAGAAAGTGCAGAAAACAGCGTTTTGCGACGATATCGTGTACTCAGCATAGTAGACCAACCTCAAATCGGAAAAAAACATCGAGACTTGCCTGCACTGCAAAGTAATGTCATCAAAACGAAACCTGTGCAAAAAATAGCGTTCCGCAAAGACTTGTGAGCTCCCAGATTTGTGTGGAGGCGAATTGCGGGCTTTCCCTGATTCTATGGTAAAGTTAATGAGAGAACTTATCATTATGTAAAACAAATGAGAGAGTACGAAAAACAATGCTGCATGAAGTTTCGACAAGTTCACACTTACATTTAGGGAATGTCCGCAACCCAATATCTAATAGAAGTAGCATAGCTTCAAAACTAAAGACAAATCTAAAGAAACTTTGTTCTAGGAAATCGATCAACTATAGTAAAAGAATAGCCTAGAAACGAATGAAAGAAAACGCCGTTCATCACTTTTTTTGCTTAAAGAAACAACTCTACAGCGGGAGGTAATTATATATTCGACAATGAGTCGATTACTCCAGCATCGTAGAACCTCCAATGAATTGCTTACAGGAAGAAGAAGACCTTGGAAACGAAAGAATGGTGGCAAAAGAGTCGAAAAGCTTAGTATTTAGTCCCAATACGCTCCAAGGACAAAATCTGACACAATGCGCTTCAGCTGCAATAGCGACAACCGGCGCGAAAGCAGCTACTGGCTGCAAAAGCGACAACCGGCGCGGTTCCGGCGCGGTCTGGAGGCTCCCTTAGGCATGTACGCCGCGTACGCTCACGCTCACTGCCACCGCGTGCACCGGCACTGTATAGCTATTCATATGTGGCCCTGAGAAGAAAGTGAATTAGAATGCCATCTTACTCTACCATCACCAGCACTGGCAGAGTGCCAAGCTCACGTGACCTACGCTACGTTTGCAGCACACAGGTATGTTGCGAAATCTGGCTCAACCCGTAAGCTGAACATGCAGATTTTTGCTTTATCGGCATTCTTTTCCACTTCTCTCGTAACAATTGGACAATGGGAATGAAACAGTATAATCACATCAGTTTACGCCATTCTTACAATTTTACAATCAAGATTAGGCTAATCGGATGTTCACCAAACATTTCGACGAATAAAAGGCTTTCGGTCCCCCAGAGCTGCATCTTTGAACATGACAAGTTTTATCCCCGGTAAAACTAACAATGGTGAATGTTAGGGTCTGAAGTGGCAGTCTCTATCACGTTCTCGCCTGATCTTGTGCCCTCTTATCTTACAGAAAAATTTGCATGTTCGAGCTGACACATGCGTAAGGAGAGAGGAAGATCATGCCTCGCACTATAACTACAGCGGGGGACGAGAGTCGACTGAGAAAGAAGAACATATGTCCATCAAAAAAGTTCCTATTATCGGAGATGTACAAGAGCAGAAAAAAGGGTAATGAATTATTAGGCTGCTGCATAGGTTCTATCCGATTTTTTTTTGCCTTAAGTTTGAAGCAACTGTTCTAAGAGAATTTTACCTCTAATGCGATACTGTTTGTACCATTAGAAAGCGCTTTTCTTGCTCTGTACATTTCAAAATTTGATATATTCGTCAGTCTAACGAAATTGTAGACCTAAGATCCCCATGTGGCCGAGATACGTTCTCACCTAAGATATATATTCTTGCAAGAAAATCTTCACAGTGCGCCATTGAAGTCAAGTCCTTATATTGGTTGCCGTGTTGCCGAATAAGGGTGTAACAGGCTAATATATGCACAAGCTCAATTTCATAAATGAAGCGTCTGGCGTAAAACTTGTTATCGAACATTAACCTTTTGTATGTATGTTCTACGAGCAAAAACCTTTCCGCGGATAGAGGCAGCCGATGAGTTCAAAGTTGAGGTGCTTGAGTTAAGCAAGAGCTAGCAGGATCCATCCACCTCTACCCCGCTCGTATCAGTTCAAGATTTTCATAATTCGTAAATGGGCATGCACACATGCACCAAAGGGAGGTCAAAAAGCGGCTTCTTTTTTGTTTGGTCAAAAAAATCTCTCGTCACCGAAAAAAAACCCTATGGGCTCTTTCAAGCCGCAAAACAAGCTGTGAAAATTTCTCAAGCTATCCATAACCAATAAATATGCCTGTCACTTTTCATAAGGAAGCTTTGCCATGTCAAAAAGACAAGTTTGTAGAAAAACGACAAGCTTGTCAGTAATCGCCTTAAACAGGCTTTCCGCAAGTCAATATTTTTCTGATAGCAAAAGAACTGCTCACACTGAAAGTAAGACCGTGGAAAAAGCTGACTTTGAAAGGAGTTATGACATTTTGAATTCGAAAATTCAAATCGGACAGAACTTATGCAGCAGCCTGATATTTCGACATGAAGAGGATGATTTATATAGCAAGCAAGCCAAACATCCTTGATGCGCCGCAGACCACAGGATTCTCTTGTATAGATCTTGCATTAGTTGCTCAGTCATTTCTCGTTAGGCAGAATGTTGATGTGACAAGTTTTTTCACTCAAGTATACTATTTTCAAATAATGTATTTGCGCTAAGTAGAGTCCGCGCCAGAAGAGCGGCGCCTGTTTGCTACTGCGAAATGTCATGTGGAGTGATCATCTCAGTTCATGAGCGCATCTCTGCTGATAAGTTCCACGTAATGAACGGGAAGCAGTTCATCATTAGATTTCGTAGCAAGCCGTTTTTGGATACATAATTCAAAGAGTGCATCTAAAACTGCCACTTGAAAAGCTTTCAAGGCCTCGTCGTCTGCAAGGAATGGACTCAGTGCTCGAGATGCAAAACTATGAACCAAATTTGTGTAATAATATATTTTCAGGTATCTTGTAGCAGAAATGAAAAGCTGGATTTTCGAAAAGATCTGCAATGCGGACCAAAGTGAATACTTGAAAGAAATGCATATGGCTTGTTCTCTATCCAACATTGAAATTCTTTTACACAGCACCTATCCATGCCAATGAGTATCTCGAAAGAAATTATTTTGTAATTGAGTTTGAGATCTCGCTTGGGCTTACAATGGGCTTCAGAAGCATAGTTCTGAAGTACGCTCCAACACAATGCAAAGTGAGCAAAGTGCTGCCACTCAATTGCCCAGAAGTATATGTGGATCTCACGAACCTCCAGCATCATTAACTGCTTCATGTAGATTCTCGCATGTGAGATCATTCTGCCATGCAACCTGCTATGCCAGATGAGCTAGTGGTGAACGTGCTGTCACAAATCAACCTCCAGTCAAACACTTTCATAATTCCAAGTTTATAAGAGTTTTTTTTTCGCACACAGCTGCTCACTAAATATTCTACCAAACTCGTGATTCGACATCTTGCATTTCCTCTCTATGATTCCTTGTTTTTCAACCTAAGAATTTTCAATCATTTGTAGTATGCATCAGACTACACTGATGCGCATCTGCGACCTTCTCATAATCCCATGCAAGCCGCTGGTTTTGATCGGGCGGAGAACAGTACGCTTACGATAAGCAAAGTTGCCAAAATCCTGCCCAATCTAGAGATGGAAGTTTGACGATTTAAAATGCGCGAGAGTTATATATCTCCATTTAGTCAAAATCGTGATGTTCAAAGTTGGGATATTCCACTTGTCGTCGACTAAATGCATATAGCTGCCACACTCTCTAGCGCCCCTTCTCGCATAGCTGCGAGCCTAGCTTGATCAAGAAAAAAAGATCCTGTTTTGGACAAAGTCTTACCAGATACGACAAGCTGTTTCGTAAAGTGTTCCCAAATCTGTTAACTGATTTGAACCTCCTCAAGCCACCTAAACTCAACATCTTTTGTAGCCTATCAACCGCGCCTCCGAAGGTACAAAAGCACGTCGCGACTCCGTAGTTACGGTTCTTACAAGCAAGTCAAGATGGGTATTTCACTTCTATTTCCATTATACCGAGATGACAATGCATGAACGAGGTAGAAGGTAGGTGAGCCAATGACAGCATCATTCCATATCAGTAGATATTACACAGAAATCGTATTGTGTTCAACATATCGAGTGAGTGTTGATGTTTGCATGAACTCCAAAAGAGGATCGAACAGTCAAGAGACTATCGATCTTTTTTCGCTTGGGACGATTTGTGCCAGAAGACTCGAGCCGCTAGAGAATTGAGAAGGGAACAAACTGAGGAAAAAACTAGAACAGTGAAAAAACTAAAGAAGGCGATTAACAACTGCATCCCAACATAGTGCGCATGCGTGAGCTTTGCAGCAAGACTGAATATGAGATAATAAATTTGACGAACGACAGTGGTGAATAAATCGAGGTCCAAATCAACAGTACTGTCCAATGAGTATCGGTTGATAACCATGAAAGATTCCGTAAACAAATGGTCGGTCAGCAATGAAGACATCATAGATGTTACGTAAAGTAAACATCAATTCCTTCAACTGTTCAGCAAGGGGATCACGGCCTTGTTCAGCTTCGTCGACCTGCAGGATGTAAAGTTCTATTCACTGTTGGTTTATTGTATTGATCTCCAGCTACAGACCAAATTACGCACTGTATGCGAAATGTGGAGAGCCGAAATAAGCGCACTTTACATTAACAACTTATGGCTAGTTGACTTATGACTAACAACCAGTTTGATACTCGTCCCCATAAGTAATTGAGATATCTCAAAATAAGTGAAAATTTATAAAGACTATATGGATTTAGCAGTATTGTCCCACGAAAATGGGTTCTTTTGTCATAAAAATGCCATAAACAAATGGATGATCTGCACGGAATGTTGGGATGATTTCTACCATAGGTCGACGCATGCGATTAGCGACCATTCCAGTTGCTGCAGCTGCTTTTGTGCCTTCTTCACTGACCTGCAGTTAGGACATTACACTAAAGCGTTGTTAACATCATAAGGTGATAGACCCCGTCTAGATCTAATAAGAACATGCTCAATTGAAACGCTCGCCGCATGCGATTGCATTGCACCAACGCTTGGCAAACACGACTTCAGGCTGACCGCTTTCGGTCCACGGTGATCGGTGATTTGTGCGACGAAGATTTACAGCTGCCAAAAAGCGACATTGTCTCGTAGCCTAACCAGTTCGCAATCCCTTTTATTATGCGTATAGAGGCTGATTAATTGTGACCATCACTTCTACTAAAGCGCAGCATTGAAGCTGGCACACATTCACTTTCAGCAGTGGAGCTAATCATTCTTGTTCGTTGCCGAAGCGCGCTCCAGTGGCAACAGCCAAGGTATGCAGACGTATATCGTCCTTTCACCCCGTTTTTTTTGATAATTTCATTATATTTTTGCTAGCAGGTTGCAACAAAAGGGTGGAAGGTGAGTCGAGAAAATCTGTTAACTTTATATATAAGTGAATTGTTCGCTGAAAAAGCTGACTATCCAATCTAAGCGCAATGTCAGCCAGTTTTGAAATTTTCATTCATGTGATCAAGATATCACTCGTAAATAAACTTGAAGACTTTTTCAACTTATCTTCCATCCTTTTATTGCAACCTGCAAGCAAAAAGATACAAAAATTATCCAAAACTCATCAATTCCTGTGGCAGCGGAAGGATGAACAACTGATCAATCGTAACAACCCTGCGCCGCGGTCAAAACCGCTTTGCGGGAGAGCGTCTGAGGCTGCGTGCCCGCTACAACGGGGTGAAAGGACGACACCAATTTTGTAGCGGATTTTTAACTAGAGATGTTATTGTTCCTACAGTCGATACCAATTCCAATCAGGCCAATACTCGCATGGCGGGAGTGCGTGTCGCGAGAATTTTGCATGATCTACTGCTAATTCTCTGCTCCATCCTCAATCTTTTTCTCTCTCTCTGTCTTTCACTCTCTCTTTCACACAGCGCGCGTAGGAGCGCAACCACCTAGCGCTGCCAGTGGCATCTAGCCAAACGGTTGCCCTGATCCTGATTGGGACAGACCGTACGCATAAAAGAAGCGTTAATCGCGACGGCAAGCGCAGTGCGCAAATCGCTGCTAGCAAAAAGATGTCGTTGACATAGTGGCTGCGGCATCTCATGTAGATCAAAGTGATCATGAGTCTGCTTCTAGAGAGTTGCGTTCGCTAGCAGGCACACGCATTTTACTACCCAAGGTAGACGCGTGCTGCAGCATAACGTCGAAATATGCTAAGAAAACATGGATAAAATCCGCGAAAACGCAAGGGTAAGTAAATACTGCTTTTGCAGGGGTCTAACAGCCGTTAAGTGCAATAATCAAACGAATCTTCTTGCTTTCAAGCAAAGTTTGAGGTAATAAGCTTTACTATCACAAAGGTAGATATGTTATTTACACAAAAGATGTCATATTATTTAACAGTATTGCCCAATGAGTTTCGGTTGATAGCCATGGAAGACTCCATATATAAATGGATGGTCAGCAATAAAGACATCATAGATGTTGCGCAATGTAATCATCTTCATTTTTTCAGCAATAGGGCTTAGCTCTTTTCCTTCTTCATCAACCTGCAGAAAAGCTCTTTTCCTTTCTCATCAACCTGCAGAAACAAGTGCGACACGGAGTAGTTCAGCAAGTGCGCCAAAATCTTATCTCCTTTGAGACTAGTTAAAATCAGCCTGATTTTCTATATAAGACGACACATCACGAAGGACTAGCAGCAGGTAGTAAGACATGGATGACTTGATACAAGGTATTTTGCTAATGATTTAGACAAGGGGATGCAGAGGAGCTTGGAAATGTGCACTGATAGACATGCAACGGATGGAAAAGATGCAGCACAAGAGAAAAACACTCGACAAAAAAGATAAGGGCGAGCTAAGCGGGGTTGCAAAGATTTATGAGCAGATAGATATGAAGATCTAGGTACATAGACTTCCATGCTGGACGCTTTAGATAGACGAAGGCAAAGATAAAACAAAATAAAACGCTTTGATTCTGGATGAGACAAGTGATGAGTGATTCTCTTTTTCTCAATAAACTGTGAGCGATTGCTAAAAAAGCTCAAATCATCCAAAACTTTGAGGGTAAACCTTTCCAACCCTCCTCCCTCCCACCTTCATCTGATGACAGGGCACAAGCCAAGCACGTAAGCAAAGCAGGAAATCGCATAGGGATCAAGCCTGATACATATTTACAAAGAAATAACTATTAAATTCTTTTCTTTTCAAATTGTTGAATCCCAGCTCGAATGAAATTAGGTGTATATTAGGTTGATGCAAAAATAATGTCCGCAGCATGCGCTACCAAAGCATGTGGATATAGAAAATGTACAAATGAGGTACCATTAGATGGAACGAAGTACAAAGTGGCTACCAAGAATCTACCCACACATTGGGCGTAAAGTTTGATGCCAAAATCTGTGAGCATTTGGCCAGCTCAAAAATTGGGTCTTCGCCCGGAGAAGTCCTAAAAGCCTCCCAGTTGGTCTTCACATAGTAGGCACATACCAACGCTCATTTATGCAATGAATGCAATTTTTCACACTTAGGACTTGAAAAAAAAAACGGAAATCGAAAATCGGCAAACTCCGCCTCTAACTCCGCCCCTTTCCTCCAATTCAGGGATTGTTACCACAAAGCCTCCAAAGCACGACTATGAGATTTCAGCCTGGTATCTGCATGGATATTTGAGAAAAGTCACTTTTAGTTTGGAAACCCATATTGTACGGTCATTATTTTTGCATCAACCCAATAGAAGTTTGGGAATCGGCCTTTTAAACTCCCAGCCAATTTTTTCAACGTAAATGACTGAAGAACAAACCTCAACAACAGCTTTATGTATGACATCATCGATGTACAGATCCTCCTTGTCTGAAACTCCTTTCAAATCGCATTTATCACTGAAGAGATGATTGATGCCTAATTTCTGCAGCATTTCCTTGATCTGCGGTTGTGATGACACCTTGAACTTCGGGATTCTGATCTGAAATTTTTTCAAATTGCTTTAATCGAAGCTAATTTGCTAATAACTTACATTCACGCCGTTCGTTTCTTTACCAGCTTGTTGCAGTAATTCTTTCATTACTTGACCATTTAGGTTAGAGCGAAATTCTTCGAAACTGACACCTTCCAATGGCAAGAAGATCACAAATTCGTACTCTTTGTCCTAAACAAAAGCTCAAAAAGCTACCAATAGACCCCAACACAAAAGGAAAAGAACCTTGTAGGGCAGTGCTAGCACTTGAACTCCATTGCCGATAGTGAATCGGCAGTTTTTGAGTGCGTGAAGGGCCATGAACGATTCCTTAACATCGTAGTCAATTTCAAATAATTGGAGGCTAACTAAAATCGATCTTTTCATTCCCTGGTGGTGAAAAAACCATTGGTGGTCCACTGCAATACTTTAGTTAACTGGAAAAGGAAACAAAGCAAGCTATAGTCTTCGAGAATTTAGCGCTCTTCAATCATGAATACAGTGCGTGAGCTGCCAACCCGTCCGCAAACTCTCAGCTATGTTTTCATTGATAAGTCTCTGAAATATTAGCCCTACAAAAAATGAAAGGCCTCAAACCCTCCATCTCAACCACTAGCACGAGCGCTTGAAAATTCATTTTCAGTCACGTTTCCGAGCTTAATAGACCTATGCATTAAGTGTTCTTCACCCAATGAGGAAAAAACTTTTGGGATTGTCGGATTAAGGAGGGCAAACACCACAGTCATTCACAGTAAAGAAAATGCTACTGAACTCGCTAAAAGTAATTTCCAAAGAAACATAGCAATGACCGAGTGCTTTGCGGTATATTCAAGTGGTGTGACCCAAAAAAGATTTAGCAGTAGATTTGAAAAGTACGATATGAACGACGTGATTCTTTTCCGAATGGTGCTGTTTCAGAATTCGACTGTTTGTTTCCTGCGGATATATTGTGCAAGCAACAGCAGTAGGGGTTCAGAACTTTTCAAATGTCTTCTTGTAAGTATTCGGACGATTACTAAAAACAGCAAAGTTACACCACACCTTTCTATCACCTTTGATGCCATGGAACTCATCCGGTTGAGTCACTTGAGGTGAAAAACGTGTTTCCCATTGTCCTTTGAAGTATACAGCATTTACCAGAAAAGCTCGCATATCTGGTTTATGAAAATCTTCGTTCACCAAGGACGGAATCATGTTGCGAGTGGCTTCAGAAACGAAGCTGTTCACAGTCTGAAAATCTGCACTTATCTATCAAACTTAGCAAAGGCAGGCTTGCTCACCTGAACTGTCAGAGCTTGATTTCTGAAGTCCAAAGGTTCAGCCGCAACATCAAAATTTTTTCCTATTGAGTTGTTGTACTCCTGATTGATTTCCATACCTGAAGAGTTGGTAAAGCTCTAGGGAAAAATGTTACTTTTGATTTACCCACCATTTGCAAGGAAAAGCTTTGTAGCTATGGCCATGGTTACTGCATCAGTCGCCGCAAGCTTCTTCAGTAGTTCCGGAACATCGCTCTGTGACTCTGGAAAGAGAAATCGTACTAAATCGAACCAAATGTATTATGCTTGAATGCCATAATTGAGATTTTGAGATCCCCCTATAAAACTTCATGTTTTCAATGATACTTGCTTACTTCTCAACTCAAAAAAGGGCACCCATTAGGCTGGCGGATAATTTCTGTTACACTTTTATTTTTATTTTTTAAAAATCTAAAAAACTTTCGAAAATTTTTATGTTTGAGGGGTATTGGCGGGGTGCAAAGATCTACCCGCCGGTACTGTCAGATCCGCGGTTCGTGCGCAAAACACACACTTTATCGGTGGGAGTACATTTTATGGACCGGACTGTCATTCTTCCAGGTGATTGGGAAGAGACTGGGCGGTGTGGTATTCGGGCAGGGTATGGTCCATAGTTTTTAGAGAACATATGGGGATGACACAATCATGTTCGCATACGATCACACGAGCTACATGTTGCGCCATGTCAGCGCACGTTGGCATTTTGACATGAAGAACAATCTTTAAGAATTTACAGAGATTATTTTCAACCTTTCCGTATCAAATCCCACACGATGCACACAAAAAGAAAAATTTTCGACGAGTTTTTGATTTGTTTGAGTTGTTTTTTCGCCTCTTGTTTTTGGGGTGCTAGCGGCACCAAAGTGATACCATAAAAGAGACGATGCAAAAATATGTTTCATAAAATTATGGGAGAGAAAAAACACAATTAGACGCAGAGATAAAAATGAAAGAAGAAATGACTATTTTAAGTGTCCTTATAAAATTGTCGTAAAGTTGCTAGCTAATTGTGCATTTGCGGCATCAGTCATGCTGTTGTGTACGCCCTGTAGCCTACATATGGAGCAACTTCGAAGCTTCCAAACAACTTCTGGAACTTTTCAGAATTTTACGAAAAAAAGTGTAACAGGAATTTTCGCCAACTTAATATATGCCAGACACCACTTTTTCGTTTGATTATTTGTCACTTCGAAGTTTTATTTTCAATAGATGCGAATAGAAACCCCATTTTGTTGCTTTTAATGCGAGTATTGCTAAAAGCTGAATTATTGCGGTGCAATTTATTTTTATAGTTGAGTTGATTCACACCAGCATTAATATTAGGTTGTCCCATAAGTCTTTTCATACCTGAATTTTCAGCGGCATAAATCAGTTGTTCTTAAACTGCTGATAAAATGCAAGATACCGTTCGACAGATCAAAGTAAGCTTTACAAGATGGCGTTCAAAAGTTCGCACCAAGCTCAATCCGCCACAAGTTCCAAGCCAAAATAAAAAATTTTCCGAATTTCCGAAAAAACGAAAATCATCATATCTCAGTTCAAAACAGCTCTGCAAATTTTCCACTTTTTCATGCATATACTCTCCTCATCGGATATCTATACATGCGCTTGCTGCATTTTTCTGATGGCTAGAAACCAAGAAAAAAATAATGCGCTCAATTTTTAAACTTTGCCTGTATCACTTCTGTGTACCCCGCAAATGATTGATTATATAGCTTATTCACTCAGAATTACTGTTGAAAATTTGCAGCCTTTAGGTGCTTTAGTTCTTGAGAAAAATTGAATTGAATGTCCGAATATGAAAAGACTTATGGGACAACCTAATATATCAATTTTTATCCGAATCTAGCTCCGGCTGTTTTATCAAAGAGAATTCCAGAGCAATATTAATCCCCTAAGTTGAACTTTAATAGATGAGCAAGAAAAACAACATTTTAAGGGTCTGTGATTGCACTAAGGGAATACCTGGTGTATTTTCTTGACGACTAACGAAACTGATACAAAATACCCTATCCATAAATAATTTTCCATGAATAAGAAGCGTCTATCAAAGGAAATATTGGCACCGATTACAAATATCTCTTTATGATCACTCTCCTTGGTCTCATGTTAATCACTATGTACCAAGAACTTACCTCTTCCTAAAGTCTTCGTAATTTCGCTTTTTGTAACTCCGCCGGCCCCGATTTCGAGAATGGACAGAGCAGCAACGAGGGATAAAGGAGAGATCACCACATTTTCATCCACTGGTGTGAGCTTCAGTAGATCAATGGCGAAATCAGTCATGATTCGCCTGCAAAGCATATTTCAGGGGAAAATTTGAGGTGCTTGTTTGGGAAATAAAACTAGACGGAAGATATCCGAAACGAAGCAAGGAGTGAAGAGACAAAACCCGAAAACTGCAAAAACTTGCTTTTTAAATGACAGGCTGCACTACTTTGCTGCAAAGGGTGGAATGATTAATGATAGCACTTATCAGACGCTTCGTCGATTGCAGCAAGGAATGGCCAGCTTATTTTAGACCACCACTGATAAAGTGTTGCGCTTCAGATATTTCAAAACAATTCTCATAATCAACCTTACTGGCTCCATTCAGTGACTACTACCTGGCAAACCCGCTCCGCCCACCCCTGTCAATAACATTTGATGCAAAAGTGATGTGTGTGTCTCCAACCCTTTTTTCAAAACAACTTTTCTCCAACAAGACCTTTTTGTAATAGACTCGGCAAACCTTTGTGAAGAACTTCCCATGCTCTATCTATCGAAGGCTGAAGCGGGCTTCTACCCTCTTCTTTTGAAAAGTTACAGAGCATCCAAATTTGGAATATCATTGCATTCACATTTGTGGCCATCTAAAGGCGAATGAGCGGCGCTTTGTGTCACAAAGTGTTTGCTGCTGCTAATGGTCTTTATCGCATTGGAATTTATACAATTCTTAGAAAGTAAAAGCACGTCAAGAAAACTCTCAGAACGTCCATTTTTGCATCACCTAATATTAGGTTGAACCGAAAGTTCTGTCGCACCATTTTCAAAAAATCATAACTTCTTTCCCTTACAGCGATTTTGCGCAGTTCAAATTTTGTTAGAAAGAGTAATGCATGAGTTTCTAAGAGTCCCCTCATGACTTTCCAACATGCTTAGATTGCAGAGATAAAAATGAAATAAAGAGATCATCCGAAATCCGGAATTTTTAAGCAAAAATTCTAAAAATCTAGAAACTGTGCGATAAAATCCAGAACAGGTCTCATCCTAATTTTTTTGCATTTTATCAGTAACTGAGTCAAATTTGTGCTGATCGAGGTCTTTTTTCAGAAGTTATGATTTTTTGAAAAAAAATGCAGAAAAATCGATTTCTTAAGAAATCCTAGGAAATTGATTTTTCGGCATTTTCTTTCAAAAAATCATGACTTTTGAAAGAAGGGCTCGATCAGCACAAACTTGACTCAGTTAGTAATGAAATATAAGAAAACTTAGGATGATGGCTGTTCTGGATTTTATCGCACAGTTTCTGACTTTTAAAATTTTTGCTTAAAAATTCCGGATTTCGAATGATCTCGTTCTTTCATTTTTATCTCTGCAACGTGAGCATGTTGGAAAGTCCCCAGGGAATCTTTTGAAAGTACATGCTTTGCGCTTTCACATAAAATTTGAAATGTGCAAAATCGTTGTGAGAGAAAGAAGTTATGATTTTTTGAAAATGGTGCGACAGAACTTTCGGTTCAATTTAATATATTCGTAATCAGCATGCTCACTTACCCCCCCCCCCCTCCCCCTCCCCCCTGTTCCCAGCCCTAGATGATAGTTTCCAGAAATCGATGAAATCGTCGATCAATGAAGAATAGTCTACGACACATGCGCCGCCCCGAAGTGTATACGTGCCAAGCTTTGACCGGATCGGTTCAGAAATGAAAATTTCTATTCGAAACATCCGTACGACACACATACATACAGAGAGACAAACAGACCAGCTCTATACATATGATGTAGTACCAATAGGCGGAAATGCCAAGAACGGTCTTGCAAAAATATCTGAATTATACATCGCATACTATTCTGGGTCATATACATGAACCTAGAAATGGTCTAATGCGATTTAAGATTTTGAGAATTCTGTACGATAGGACATTCAACGATTTTTTTCTGTAACTGGCTGTGCCTCATTTCTTTTTCTTTCGGCAGAATCTGTTCTATCTCAGCACATATTCGGGCAGATTTCATTTTTTTTCGCACGTTGTAAAAAAATTGCGAAAACCAAATGTATGAAAAACAGGTCAATTTTTTGCTTGGGTGCTGTGCTCAATAAATGCGAGATGGTCAACATAAACTATGTCAACAAGTTTAGCCGAAAGTGAGGTGTTGAAATAATTTCTAGTTTTTCGAGACTCTAGCGCAAGTCGTGATAAGGAATCATAGGTCAAAAATTATATTGTGCGCAAAAATCATAATACCAATGAATTGGGGACTGTGATGTGAGAAAGAATATGGGCATAAGGAGTGGCGGTCCGAGAAATTTTTTTCGGGGGGGGGGGGGAGCGCGACAAAAATTTTTTCCTAAAGAAGGTGCGTGGCGTTAGCCACGCACGCCGAAAAAATTTTTGGGGTGCTTCTCAAAATTTTTGCGGCTCCCCGACCCCTAAAATCTGGAAAAAGGGGGCGTGGCGTCAGCCACGCCCCCGAAAAAAATTTATAGGGCTAAAATGAGTTTTTAAAAAATTTTAAGAATTATTTTAATTATTTTCAAGTGCAAACAAGTCGTTTGCACATTTTTACAACCCATATAGATAAGTTTCAAAAATTTCGCGACCCATTCTCGGGGGAGGGGGGGGGGGCGCGCCCTCCCCCCGCACCCCCCCCCCCCCTCGGTCCGCCACTGGCATAAGGCATCATTCTATTGTGGTTCGCATGCAAAACATTTGAGCATTGAACCCAAGAATGAGGGAGAGAAGGAACCGCTGAACATGACTAGAGAATCAATGTTCTACTACGACAAAGATCAAAGGTGAAGTGTTAGCGCAATTTTCACGCGAGGGGGAGGGGGGCAGGTGCTTAAACAGGGATGATTCATTGCTATTTAACTATATGCATCTATGTATGTAAAATGCGAATTAACAGCAACTGCATATGTGAGCATAGGGCCAAGCACAAATTGACGCTACTTGTGGATTACAGAAAAGAACAAAAATTCAACAAAAAAAAACAACCACTTAGTGAAAAAAAAACTAGACATTCTGCAATGGCGATATGTTCATTGTGCACATATAAGCTCTTTTACACCTTTGTCAACAGAAAAAATGTGGGTTGGCAGTCTCGTGCAAAACAGAGTAGTGCACGTTGTTATAGAAACAGGATTGAGTACACGTTTCTCAATACTTTTTGCGAAAAGATGGTGTCTGAGAATGAAACGTGGTACCGCGATATGAATCTGCAAATGTGGATGCTGACTAAATGCTTTTTCGAAACTCTTCAAAAAAGAATGAAGCCGAAATCCAATTGCCGAAGTTCTTGCATAGCTTTGTAATTGCTGAGCAAACACCAAAAGATTACAAGGAAATGTTTACGGGTTGCGTAAAACGAGGCACCCCCGGCCCCCCACCAACAAAATAATCGATTGTGCCTGGAAAAAGGCTTTTAAATTGGGCTCCATTTGTTATGAAACCAGCTAAAAGCAGAAAGAAGAGGGAAACAATGAGAAAGCGGAAAATTTCTTGCCATAAACTCGCCGAATTGTCTGCTTGCGAAACAATGGGAAACGAAAATAGAACACGACAGTGCAAACTGCTAAAATTTCATTCCGACACTGAGTCATTTCTACAGCGTCGAGCGTACAAGCGAGTGTAGTCATAACAGACGTGATGTTTACAACAGATGAAGCGAATCGTTGCAATGTTTGTTTATCATGAGTTGTGGTCGATGATTCATTTTCCAACAATTCGGCGAGCGACGGATATCCAGCATGGGTTGTGCTTTTAGTTTTTTTTTGGCCATTTAAAAACCCGAAAGCACTGCATAGGTGTCTTTTTGGAAGCCGATTTTATAAATTAGTCGTGCAACGACTTTCTTAGGATCTTTTTGAGGTAGACATTAAACAATGCACCGCTTTTGTCCACAGAAATCTTTTTATCGTAAATGAGACACTTTCAACGTCTCATCATTCTTCTTTCATTATATTACATTAGGTTGTCCCGAAAGTTTTGTCGGTTTTTCAAACCACTATAGAACCACGCACAGTAAAGATATGAATGAGCTGTAAAGTGCATTCGATGCAACTTTACCTTCTCTTTCTTATGGTTACATTTTCGAATCGAAATCCTGTATGCTTTTTTTGATAATTGCCAAAATTCTTCGCTCGCCATTTTTATCTGCTTAAAGTCAGGCTATTTTTCAAAACTTTCGTTCCAAAGTTTCGGAGAGGGTTGAGTATGGATCAAATAGAGCAATTCAAGGACTTTACGGAGATATTTTTTGATTCTCCTGATCCGCTGTGTTTAGCTCAAGAAATTATTTCTTCGGAGGCCTTGATTTTCAGCAAAGTCATGAAAAACGCAACCGCAGCAAAAGCAAGAAAACTTTTGAAGTTTCTGCGAATTCAATCTTGATTTTACTAAACATCATTTATGCAACATAACCAAGTTTGATTTGCTTCAAAAATCAGCTTTTTGGAATTTTCGGTACATTTACGTGGTAAACTTATTCAAAAAGCCGCGGTTTTTACTGAATAAATAACCATAACGGACTTAATAAACGAGGCCCGCGTAATCTAAAAAAAAGTACAATGTAGCCAAAGGTTTGCTCTACATAACAGTCACCAGCGCTCCTTGAAAATATCACTATGAAAATTTTGAAAATTCAGGGAAGATTTGGCGCTATTGCTGAGGTGCTCAAAAAGCCATGGCGATAACCTCACAAAGAAGGGGTAGATCAGAAAACAAATGTAGCTGTAAGAAGAGGATAAAAATTTGAATAGAATGGTATCTAGGTCGTCCATGGAATGGCTTTCTGTGAGTTTGGGTGAGCGATGAAAAAACCGACATAACTTTCGGGACAACCTAATATAAACACCAGTAATATATGCTCCGCTGACAGCTGTTTTTTTGTATCGCACTTAATTCCACTGTGACGTGGGATTTTTATAATGGTCCTTGCCATCCCTTGCAGCCAAAATGAAACCCTTACCATATAATTACTGTACCACCATAGTGCTTTTAAAAAGCTACTGTTGTGGGTGCAATCTTCAAGACATATTTATTCTTAACACGTTGACCTAAATACCAATCTCATTCATTCTAATTTGTGTTCATAAAAACAACTTAGGCTTAGTCTTTTGGCAAACTCCATTCGCTTCGCTGCCATTTGCAAAAAACTTCTTTGTGTCCAAACCGCTAAGGCTTCATACATGCCTGAAGATGGGTGGCTATAGCTGACGATGTGTCGCTGCTAGCAGCAACGCTTTTCATGCGTATCGATTGCAGCCAGGCGACGCTGCTGCTCCTAGCTGCTGCAGCCAACGCGAAACAGAACCGCTATAGCTAGCGATGCTGCGCTGCTTCTAGCTGCTCCCTGCTGCTCCCAGCTGCTCGTTGCTGCTCCTCGCT